AAAAAGTTCCAAATTTCTTTAACTGATAAGGATTTTTTAGTGAAACACATTAACTACATGAAGAAAACTGCCAGCCAGTAACAGAGAGAAACGGTGTGAATGAAGAAAGTTTTTTTCACGTCTTGCCCCAGTGTATTGGAAATGTATTCTAAATGTATTCTGAATGCATTATTTTTTATGTATTGCAATAGAATATGTTACTGAATACATTCAGGAGTGTGTTCAGTATTCAGCCATCACTGCTTTTTCAAAGTTCTTTTCCTAACCCTGTATATATGGAACATACAGTGGCCACTAAACTTGTATTTGGACATTTGTGCCTTTCTTATAAAATGTGTTAATAGTATTTTAAAACAAAATGCAAAGTCGAACCAAGCAGCATTTATTTTAAACAGACCATTCTAAGACTTCTTCTTTTTTTTTGGCAAAGTATTCTTTTAAAAGGCAGCTGGTGAGTTTCAAGTCATTATCATTTGAGCTGGTTCTTTGCAGACTTCTTCAGGTTTGCATCCAGAATGGCCTTGTACTCTTCTGATGTTCATGATCCCATCAATGAACACAAGCTCACTGACACCATCATAAGAAAAACAGCCCCAGACTTTGAAGCCTCATCTGGGCACTCTTAGTGTAGGCTTCTCCAGACTTTCTCCACACAAAGAGTCTACCATTAGTTTGATGTTGTGCTAAGAGTTATCATTTTGTTAAACATTTTATGAAGTAACCTAAAGAACCTTAAAGTTTCTAAGTGTCTAAATACTTTTTGTAGCCACTGTATGGATGACCTCACATTCTGGCACAGTATCAAAACTGTATGTGTGCTTTCACAAGGCATGTGGTTATGCTCTGTGGTGGGATGTACATGCATGATGCTGCTGTGAATGCACAGCCACGTGTGGTTTCAATTTGGTCGAGCTCCAGTTTCAGCAGTAATTCCACTGAACTCCACAATCAGTTACAGTAATAACGCAGTCTTAATGGGCAGTTGTAGTCTCCCGCGTTGGTTTATTGCCTCCCTCATTTGCACGTTTTCCGGCCTGACTGTCTCACTCTGTTTTCCACGGTTTTCTATTTTGTAGTATAATGGTCTGCGATCAAAAATGTTGTAGGAGCTGAATAGAATTATGCAATACATCTCCAATCAGTCAAACTGAGTAAAGTTAGTATGAGCAAGGGGCACACATGGATATGTTACAGTTAAACAGGTTCAAGTAGAATAATCTTTTGCTCATCTTGCATTCCAATAGCAACATCTGTGAATTTTGACAATTGGACAGATATTTGTCAAGATTCATTCTGGAAGATGTTTTTGTACCATCAAAGTAACTTTTTATCGTGTTTTTCAGTTAGTGAGTTGTGCTTAAGTCATAATACACATCAAGATTATTTTACTCTCCTTCTTGGTGGCTGCAATGCAGCACCATATGCAAACACCTACCCAGGCTAATGTACGGCCTCCACGCGGTGTGGTTAGTTTTAACACAGTGTTACAACTAAGCCTCCCAATTTTGATGTAGATGTTTTTGCGTGTTGAGGATGGAAAGCTTGTCTGGTTCCATCAATTACTAGAATAATACTGAATTAATTGTCTTTGCATCCATTTACAATAAATTTTAGCGACTGTCACAGCTAGCCCCTCAGCTTGTTACAGCTAACCCCCTCATAGGGTTAGTTGTAACGTTTTCACCTTCACCTCTTTTGGCTGAAAGTGTACTAATCTTGCTCTTACTTTCTATTGGGAGGTGCCTGAACCAAAACCTATACCTAAATTTCATTCACTAAATTTTGATTTATCATGAGTGTCATTTTTAAATAAAACACTTTATTAAAAAAATGCTGTCTCATGTTTTCTTGTCACTACCTAAACACTGTTTTAGTCCATAGGCGGAGCCTTATTTCAGCCACACCCCTGCATTTTAGAGCAGGAAGTGAGGCTGCATGCCTGTTCCTCATGGCCACATGGCGAATAGATAGAGTCCATTGTTTTTGAAGTAAATGTGTCCCAAAGTCTGAAAATCAGTGTGGAACGTTAAGAATTGACACTACCAAAACACATTTCTGTAATTACGTAAACTTTTTGGTGTTTAAATGAATGATACTAAGATGTTATGTATGTACAGCTGTTCAAAGCTGTGTTTGCTAGTCATGTACTGGCTAGTACTTTAAGTTCTGCTCAAAATTGGCTCAAGCTGTCACTACAGATACAGTCACGACTGAAACATTTGGTAAAGTTTTGGCAGTGTTATGATTACTTTGGTAGTAACAAAATAAAATGTTCAATCATTTATTTTAATAAAATAAGTAAAATTATAGGGTCACTCAAAGCCAAAGAATTTTAAGTCAGTCAAAAGTCTGAAATGTGTTTTCAGCTCTGACTTTGAACCAGTTCAGTTGAATTATCTCTATAGATTTTTATCTCATCATAAAACACAACTAATTCATTCAGTCAAACAGCCCTCTTGGATCAAGGTTTTGAGAGTGGTCTTATGCAGTCCTCTATAGATCACAATGATGTAAGCTCTCTTGCCTTAGGCCTCTTTCTCCCTCCCTCCTTCTTTCTCTTTTCTCTTTCTTTCCAGCCAGATGTACATTAAAGAATGAAAATTGCTGCTTTTAAGCTGTTTTCTTTTACATTGAAAGGAGGATGTGCACATTGTGTCGGTTTGGCTGCAGCATGGATATAATGGATCACAGACAAGCTGAATGGTGCAGAAACTCCACAAAAAGTGCCACAGCAGGCTTCAGTCTCAGCAGGAGACCGCAGACCATTTTTATCCATTGTTCCTCAGTTATAATCCGGCATGATTTTCCGCCTCAAGAACCTTTTTTACGAGCATTAACCAATCTGCTCCTAATGACATTAAAGACAAATGACAAAACATATTGTTGCTGTCGGAACAAAACCGTTTTTGTTTCTTTTTTTTTTGCCATAATCTGAAAATACCAGCTGTTCTTTACATCACCTTTTATGATGAATGAACCAATAGAAATGATCCAAAATCACTTTGAATAACATATATTTGCACTAACTTGCATTGAAAGTTAAATATTTTTGCCTTCTCTGATAAAGTTACCATTTTTAAGATATAGGTATTTACTTCAATTTGAATAATTAAGGGGTTGGGGGATGTCAAATCACTGTTGCTATATTAAGAGCAGTTTCTTGCTATAAGTTCCATAAGCAGTTGCTATAGAGTGCCCAAGCAGAAAGAAGCCTTTTTTGTATAATTAATGTCAATCATGATGATAAACAATAAAATAAAGATGTTTTTCTGTTATTTTTTTGATTATATACTGTAGCAATTTTAAGATCCTATTTTCCCCTTTATGTAATTAAGTTATTAGTGTTTATCTTTGCATTGCATTTTTTACTTGATCAAAATAAATCTTTATGAATTCTTTTACAAAACAATATGATTTGACAGGGTTGGGGGGGCCACTAAGCGTTCAAAATGACTAAATTCAGTCATTCAGAGTGGTGTGGTGTGAAATGCTAAATTCTAGAGAAACTTACTGAGTCAGAATTGTTCACAGTGGTGGTGATAGGAACCAGACGTCTGAAGAGTTTAATGCCTCTAAAAGCTGTCTCACAGCAAGTTACTACACAAAATGGTTATGAAAACACTGCCTGAGTCTGAGACATTGTTTTATGAAAGTTTTAAGACAATTTTGTTAATCTGCTGGCCAGAAAGGTGCAGGCATTATATGTTACATGGCAAAATCGTTCCCAAAGTAAACCTAAAGCTTTTTACATAATATTGAGTTTGTATCGTGTATGTATATCTTATTTCCAGAGCTTACAGAGCTCATACAACTTTGAGTATTTTTAACATGTTGTATATGATAGGACTTACTATCTCATCCTATCATAAAGGCAATTGAATAGCAATAGTATTGCAAGCATAACTATACCTCATACACATCTGTAAAACTGGCTTACCTTTATAGGCTCTCCCAAACAGTTCATGAGCCATGTATAGATACAGATGGGCGGGGCAATGTCCTCTTAACAAGATCGGCTAAAAAGTATGTCAGTTAAAAGTTTGATAACTGATGGCCTTCACATTTCAGCTGCATTATTACGTAATTTTAAAGAAATTTAAAATTCTACATACCTTTTTTAAAACCCGTCAAATTAATATCAGACCAAGTTTTGCCCACTTGCCAAAGCACTTTTTCCCCTGACAAATCCAACGTCTCTCTCTCGGTCAGCAGGGGGTGCTCTTCATTCATTGAAAGTATTACTTATTTGACACTTACAGAAACCTTCATGTAACATGTTAATAGTCTGAAAACCGCAACAGCACAGTGATGATACAACAGAGTATTTAATCTAATTGACAAAATCTGTTAATTTTTTTTTACCAACTGACTTAGAGGGATTTTGATGATTTTTTTGTCAAAATGTCTGCGTAATTAAACCATTAATATGTATATATATAAAAAAAAAGGCATTAAGAGTGCTTTGATGTGAAATGCTCCGTCCTAGAAACTAACAGAGTCAGAATTGTTCACAGTGGTGGTGAAAGTTTATGAAAGTTTAAAGTCTATGAAAGCTCCCTCACAGAAGGTTATTACATAAAATTGTTATGAATACGCTAATAATTTTGAGAAGATTTTGGGCTACAAAGATTTTTTTTTATTCCATTTATGGTGGAGGGATACATGCAGGTTGTTGTTAGGCAAAATAGTCTACAAAGAAAACTTATTTTTTCCAGATTTACCCACAAAAACTCAAGACTCATGTAGGTTCATTGCTGGTTTGGGATTAGGAATAAAATGGCTATATATGTGTTGCAGACATTGCAACCCATGTTTCTTTCACCACCACTTTAAAGAAATCATTCGGCTAGTTTCTCTACAATGAACCAGTTCACATCAAACCACTTGTTTACATCTCAACCACTGAATAATGCAGAAATGTTCAATCTTTTTAGGTTACTGTGTTTTAATCTATCTTACTCCACCAACATCAGATAGAAAGCCAACAGCAACACAACACGGACAAATCACACTTTTTTATTCATGAAAAGCAAAACAAGGGACAAACATCATTGAAAAATAGTAACAAGAATTCCACGTTTGGTTTATCTTTGGTGCACGCTGGAATAAATAAATCAAAAGGCAACACGTCTCTACAGTCTGAGTAATAAGAAAAGTGGATCAGAGTGATCGTTGGTGCTGGGTGTGTGTTTTTAAGTGTAAGTGCCCATGGTGGACTGAACTGTGTGAGTGTGTCTTGTTAGTTTGTTTGTCAGAGCCCTGGTGGTTCTGGTGATGCATTAGCCAGTTTCTTTCTTCTCTTCATAAGAAGCGGATTGGACGAGTCCTCAATTGTCTTGATTTTGACTTGCTCGTAGTCCACTCTCATCGTGGCCAAGGCATTAGTCATCTCTTCCTGGACATACCAGCAAAAAAATATCAGCCAAAAATAAAAAAAAATTCACATTTAATTACTATATAGAGAGCAAGCCCCGCCTACAGATCCTGAGTAACTCCTTTTCAGAATGAATTACACAGACTTAATCCCACAGGTCAGTATGTGGGAAACTGCTACTGACCTTGACTTCATCCCAGACGTGGCTTTCCTCTGTCAGAACTTGACTGGTGTGCAGAGGAGTCTGAGGTACATCGACTGAGCTCTGCAGGATGTTTTTATCAGCATAAAAGAAGACATGGAAACAGGTTTAGGTGTATAATGTAAATTGTCTAAAGACATGCAGGACTCATCTACTCTGTAACAAGCTGCTGATTAGTGCATAGCTGTTAGTGGTAGTTGTCATAATGCCACTCATCATAAATAAAACTGAAATATGCAGAACTGTGGTTTCTTGTTAATAGGTTGTCGCTGTCACATCTAAACCGACTCCATTCCTTTACACTACTTAAAAAACACTAAATGCCCTTTACCTTTTATTATGAACATTTCATGACAAAATGACCAATAGTAATGGTCCAAAATTACAGTGCTGTGAGACTGAAAGAAGGTGTAGCTGTCAAGAAGCCCTTACTGAGAAGGGGAAACAAAAAAAAAAACAACAAAACCGGTGTTCTCAGAACAATGGACTGACCACTGCAGAGCGTAGACCTCAACATTACTGCCTGTGTTTGGGGTTACGTATATCATGAGAAGCAGAAAATGCAACCAACTTCTAAGACTGAACATTGGAGGTTTGAAAAAATATTTCTGACTTCAGATTTACATTATTTATTTTAAATGCAAGTTAATAGTAAATCAATGTGTGCATGTGTGTAGTTATTTGATGCTAAACAAAGGATGGTCTTTCCTCTGTGTGGACTGAATTGTTTGTTGGTTGCCAGTTTATTATAGGCTACCTTTTTATGTTTTTGTCTTGGTTAAATGAAAAGCCAATACAATTTTGAAAAAACAATAAATAAAATGATGCAGAGAACTCACATTGATCCAGGGATGGCGCATGAACTCTGTGATGGTCATTCTTTCTGTAGGATCAGTTTTCAGTAGTTGCCGAATCAGCTGCTTTGCTGGGAAAACAGAAAAAAACTGCCCCATCAGAAAGTGCTGAAACAAAGCCAGAGCTTCCACAGGACTTTCACAGAAAGTATGGCAAATTTTGTGTTCTTGGTCAGTGCATTTTTCCTTTGCACTCTTATATGTTTCATACCGTAGCTGGATAATTGTACATTTTGCATCTGTTTATTATTTTGTACCATATTCTTGTTTACTGTATATATTGCGGGCGGCACGGTGGCGCAGTGGGTAGCGCTGTTGCCTCACAGCAAGAAGGGCCTGGGTTCGATTCCCGGCCGGGTGACCAGGGTTGTTTCTGTGTGGAGTTTGCCTGTTCTCTGCGTGGGATGTGTCCTCACATTAATGCACTGAGCATTTTGCACTATTTCTATTTATTCCCGCCATCTAACTCACTCCATACTGCCAGTCACCTCTACTGTTTGGAACCCTTACTTTTATTCAGTGGTACTTGTTGTCTGGTGGACTTGTCTAGTATTTCTTCTCGGTCCAAAGAAAAACAAGACAGTAACTTAATACGAGAAGGCAGATACTTTCTTATCTTTTAATATAAGTGCATGTAATTCATTGTTACAATGTTAAAAAATGAACAAACACATTTTTTTTGGACAGCAACGATTTGCAATACTTTTTGCGTATGTGCAACACTTCCCTCCTCTAAGGCTCCCTGTGTACGTCTTTTTTATCACCTTAGCTGTAGGAACATGCTGCTGTAGTGCAAGAGTTTCATTGTTCATTCATTTTTGAATGCCCTGTGTACTGAATACCTTCTTACTGAATACCTACTGAATAATAATTCTTACCTTCTTCTGAGACCGCTGACCATTCAGGGTTAGGAAATTCATACTGGCCGTTCCGTATCCGTTTCTTCATTCCTGGGGACAGCGTCAAGCCGTGGTTTGAGTAAAAAGGGGGATATCCACACAATCTAGAGGAAGAACAGAATGTTAATTACAGTGAGAGACGGGAGATTCAAGCTGTGTTCATAAGGACATTTTGGTATCCTTTTAAAAGGCACCTCATTGCTACTGTTTTTTTGCTATTGAATGATGAATTTTAAATTTTAAGAACTGTTCAATTTAGAGTTTTTTCGTAATGTCCAACAGAATCCTGCATCAGAGAGTAGGCTGGGCTTTAGTCAGTCACATTGATATTAAGCAAGATAGGGAAGAAAATAATCACTGCAGATCTGTACAATCGAGCTCTAAAGATCTATAAGGATGACTCACAGTGACTCGCCTTTTTTGCTTCTGCCAGCAGTTTAGTTGTTTTATTTATTTAGTGCCTTCCTCATGCCCAAGGTCACTTTAAGGTCACTTTAAGGTCGCTTTTACAAAAAAACTTGTATGCATGTGGAAAAAAAAACAAGTAGAAGGAAAAGAATAGTGTTGAGTGAAGAGGTATGATTTTGTTTGTCTTCTATTGATTAAATGAAAAGTCAATACAATTTAAAAAAAGGGAAAAATAAAGCCCACAACTCTCATTGATCCAGGAAAAGCACATGAACTCTGTGAGGGTCATTCTTTCTGTAGGATCAGCTTTCAGTAGTTGGCAAATCAGCTGCTTTGCTAAGAAACATATTTTCTCCTCATGTCCTGTTTTACCTGCCATTTAGGTCTACGATGCTACTAAGCTGGTAGAATGAAGGCTAGCATGTAATTCCTCTGAGTCATGTGAAGCAGCACCACATGGTTTCAAACTGACTCTAATGCAGTGTCATTGCACAACTCAACACACTTCAAGGCAAATGCTAACCACTAATTATGTTACTAGGGATGTGCACGGGTACTGGAGTACTTTGTAAACCAGTATTTGAATACTAAAATCACTATTTGGTGTTTGTTTTTTTATCATGGGAAAACGAAGAAAATATACAGTCTAACAATTCAGTAAATGCTGATTTTCTGTTTTAACAAGGTGAGTTCACTTGTGTTCACATGTTAGTATGTAAGTAAGGAGATAAGTACATTAATGTGAGCACTTTACCAAGAATGCCTTGACTAAAAAGGCTGAGACAGCACAATCAGCTGTGGTGGGCTTTTGTCGCTAACCAGGCTAACTACTCTAGCTGATGTTAACTAGGTCTAGAAACAGTGAAAATATATTTCTCTGACAAACTAACATGTTGACACATCATCCACCTGTAAAAAAGTCAACGAATCCTTATCAGCATGCAGTGCTGTGCCATTTAGCTTTGTTAGCTTAGCTCAGGGGTGAACAACTCCAGTCCTGGAGGGTAAAAGTACAGCACAGTTTAGTGATTTACTTGCTCAAACACTTCTGATTACACTCATCCGTTAATTGCCAGGTGTTGTGGGTGTGTTTGAGTTGGGAAACTACCAAACTGTGCTGGACACTGACCCTCCAGGACTGGCAGAATTAGCCACCTCACGACACAAAAATAGCTATTTTCCTCAGCTATATACTGCAATACTAGTATTGTTACCTGAACAGGTAAGCTTACAGCCCTACATAAATATCAGCCAAAGTGTTTTTTCTCTCGTTTTTCTCCCCTGCGGTTAACTGATTGCCTGTTCATCAACCTGTATGGATAATCGAATATCAAAATGAGTTAAAATGTACACCGCTATATGTAACATCAACTAACAGAGGCCCACAGTGGCTAGTATTGGCTCAGTGATGGGGAGAAGTTGGGCCATCCTACCCACTCAGAGAGAGTGAGGCCAGTTAAGCTCTCTTAGAGTCCCAGCCATGGATGGCTGTGGCATCGCTGAGGTTGAGCTGAACTTATGATCTCCACTGGGCAGATGCTTAGATTTTTGTGGGAGTCCCAGCATTTTTATTGAAAAAGTTTTCTGCTCACATGCATCCATTAACACACCTACAACAAACCAGCAACAAATACTGATGTGTTTTACCAAAACATAAATGCCAAAATGTCCTCGTGAATGCGGCCTAACTACAGCCCGACCGGCTACGATAATTTAGCTTTCAAGACAGTCACTTACAGTATGTACATGATGACACCTAGTGACCACATGTCACATGATTTGTCATATTTCTCAGGGCCAAGCACTTCAGGGGCTGGAATAAAAACAATGGAAAGAACCGTTAAACCAATAAAACATCTGAAGTCTCCGAATACGCATCTGTGAAAGACACTAAGAGAATCCTTTTATTTTGTGACATGCTATGCCAGCTAGCCCTTCCTTACCCGCATAGTAGGGAGTGTAACATGGTGTGGCCAGGCAGCTCTGGGACGTGGTCTCTTTGGCGAATCCAAAGTCTGTGAGCTTGAGCTGAGCGTCAGGATGCATTGATGTATAGAGCAAATTCTCTGGCTGACAGATAGACAACATAATAGAAGAATGATGAAATGACTTGTCTTGAGATGCCCATAGAAATTTCTCTAATCCATTTTTCATAGGCGTTTTTACCTGTCATTGATTGATAGTCTGTGTAGGATACATTCAGCCTTCAGAGGTAAGACATCTGCTTGATCTTGTCTTTGTTTCTCCATATACATTCAGTGCCTAATCATGCAAGCTGATTGATTGCTGACCAGGGTCAGCATGATTGTAATACTGCTCTGGGAATACAGACTGAGGCTGGAGGATTGTGCTACGTATTTGACCTCCAAGTAATGTAGGTATATTAGCTTTTGTATATAGTTCAATGATTGCAAATAAAGATGCAAATAAAGTCATTCAGAGTGATTTGGTGCAGACAAAAGTGCACTGTAGAGAAAATTAATGACACAGATTTCTTTAAAATAGTGGTGATAGGAACCAGGAGACAAGATGTCTGCAAATATAGACATCTTATTTACTATCCAAAATGACCAGTGAACCTACACTTGCCTTCTAAGGTTTTGTATGTCATGTTAATGATGGTAAAATTGTGGTAAAATCAAAAAATGTTTTTTTAGGAACGCTTTTGCCTTACATTTCCCTGCATGTACCCCTCTACCATGATAGATTTTGAATATTTTTCAGAGACAAATTCTCCAAAATTTCAAAAATATTGTAAAACAGCAACTGCATTTACTCAATAATCAAAACATAATTGGATTTCTGCAGTTACCCGATTATTTAAATGGTCATGTAAACACCATACTCTGATCTAGAAATCCAAATAAGAAATCTGATAAAGAGAGCTAGATTTTAGCTCAGTAATCAGATTTCTCAGTGCATATAAACTCTTACTCTGATTTCTTTCAGATTTCTTAGTCTGCGCATGTGCAAAAACAGACTGCTGTACTAGAAATAAACAAGCAGCATTGCTGTGAGATGCAGCAAAACACTTTTGTAGCAACACCAAAACCAACTACATTCTCAATGAAATAAAGGATTTATTCTTCATCTTCTAGATGATGTATGTTCATATTTTTTAGGTAAAGATGCACAATGCTTTTAAAAAAAAAGAAAAGCAGCGGCATGGAGTTTGAGTTTTACATCACGTTTACGTCCCATTTTCTTCTGTGAGTTTATTGGCTGGTTGCGAAGCAGAAATCTGATTACTGTCCGACTCATGTTAACCTGGAGTTTTCCCATTATCTGATTACTGAAGTGCATATAAACACATTGATCAGATTACTGACAAAATCTGATTTTCTGCAGTTATCAGATTATTAAGTGCATGTAAACACACTCAATGTCTCAGGCATTAGGCACTGTATTAGTAACTTTCTGGAAGGTATGCGTCAGATGTCTGGTTTCTGTTACTGCCACTGTAAACAATCCTGACTCAGCAAGCAGTTTAATTATGCATAAATCTGAAAAGCTCTGTCAGACTGAATGGACAGATTCAAACTGACCAAATTATACTGCAAGGGCCTGTAGGTGCGTCCACATTTCAGTTTCAGGCCCTCACTCTCATATCCTTACTTTCATATCCTCACTCTCATATCCTTACTTTCATATCCTCACTCTCATATCTCATATTAGTTTCATAGTTACTGAATAATTCATAGTAGTTATTAAATAGTAACTTCTATCGTCTTTGAATTAAAGGGAGTACTGAGTAATACAGTAAGTTTTAAAGTTAAAAAGTAAATAATATGTCTGCAGTTTAATGAGTTCAGCTTGCAAAGATGTTGCTTACCTTCACATCTCTGTGTGCTATGTTAATGGAATGTAGAAAGTCGATGGCTTCACCTATGCTCTTCATAATGGCTGAGGCCTCTGCACAGAGAATATAGAAATAATAACCCTAATAATGAAAGGCCAATCTGCAGCTGAGCTGTATGAATTGTATAGTCTAATTCATATTTTTTTTCACCATTTTATTAATCATTAATTTAAAACCTAATGACTTATATGTGGGCCTATACATGCATAACTTTTATAACTACATGACTTTTGCATTAGATTCCTAGTACTTACAGACTAATTCACAGAGGTTAATGAATAAAACATCTTTGGGTTAAAAACTACATAATGAGCCCACAAAATGCTGTGTACATACCTCTCTCAGTAAACGCCTGCTCACGCCGTGCCTTGATGCGTCGGAATAGCTCACCCCCATCCATGCTGGGATAAGACAAGACAGAATGATAACAGTCATATAGTAAAGTAAACATATAGCTACCCATAAATCTGAAAAACAGTAATAACAGCAGTACGGCAGTAATACATCAGTGAGCTAGAAAAGAATAGGATAGAATAGCAAGAACGCTCAGGCAAACTAAAATAAATATTTCATCCAAATGTATATCAGCTGAAAAAAAAGCTACTTAATGAAGATGAGGATATATCCGAGCAAGTGGGCAGTGAGTAATACTGACCTTAACTTACTTAGTTTACGTAGTCTGTACCATATTGACCATCATGATTGTCACATTCAAGATAAAGGCTTCACCAATTTTGATTACACTAGCTAGCCACCACTAATTATCCCATTGTAGCATATAAATAATAAAAAAGAGTAAGAAATTTAAGAGATGAAAATGTGCAGACGACAGGTTACCAGTCATTTCCTATGGGAATACGTGATTTCTGTAGTCACAATTTATCGACAGGCGACTCGGCAGCAGGGTAACAAGCGACAATCGAGCTGAAATTTTCTCTTCTATTTCATGCAAATGAACTATGACGCAGTGAAGAGACAATTTAAATGATTTCTCGAACCAGTAGTAGACATGGTCCTCTGCTCTCTGGACTTTTTGTTCCTACCAGCCTTTTATTCCTATTCCCAATAGTATCACTCCAAAAAATGGAAAAGAAGTTTATAAACTTATAACTGCAGCTCATATGTTAATGAAAACAACGATACATGCATAGTACATATTCTTTACATTATCTTGTCAGAAGCTGGACAGTGTACACGCCCTCAAGCAAGAACAAATGCAGCCTCGAATACACCCACAAGAGACAGACTTGAGACGACATTAGTGATTTGTCGCCTCCTAATGTGACGATTTGGTAATGATGTAAGATCAGATAAATCAGATGATTTTCATTTGTCTGTTTGTCTTTAAGACTTTAGATTGACACATCTTTCTGTGTGCATTTTTAGTCACGTCACTACTATAGATTTCTAGTGTGCATTTAATATAGTAAGTAGACGTAAGATGCCGAGTGGTGTCACTGTTCAAGTGTAAGGTGTGATAGCCTGTATCCTCCGGACTCTTATTAATATTAAAATATTTTTAGAATAATGCTTTAAAAATGAATATCAAATTTGACTGAAATGCTCATCACTAGTATGTGTATGTGTAGTAAAGCTTAATAAGCACAGTCTTACCACTCCATGACGAGGAGGAGACACTTTTTGCCTTGGTAGAAGTTATCAAAGACGTCCGCGATCCGCACAACCCGGGGACAGACAGATGCCTGACAGTGAAGCTCCGCCTCCCGACGGGCCTTTGGACAGTCCTTCAGCATCTGCAGGGTATTTACACAGATAAAAAAATAATGATGAATGTTTTCATACCGGAAGTCCAAATGTATAACTGTTGTTTTGCTATTCTTGCTATATATTTGCTATAATGTAATGATGTAATTACGTAAAGTATTTACATTCTGTATCAATACATTTTAAGTCTGTATTTCCATCTTCTTCTGCTTGTTTCACTGTCAAAATAAGATAAAAACATGACAAAAATGTACAGAAATGTTATTCTTTCTGCAAACAAGACTGTATACACAACAACAAGTTGTTGTAAAATTCTAATCATAATGAAATGTCTCTTCTTTTGCTTTAGAGAACAAATATGGCACACCGTTTGAAAACTGGAAATCTGTACCTTTACAGATTTTCTCTGCTTGTTTCAACAACCTACAAGTGAGAATAAAATCAACGGAAAATTACACCATGCTTAGTTATCATTGGTGATAGTTCTGACATCTAAGGGTTAAATGTCTTGGATAAAAGAGGAGTTCCACTTTCCACACAAACTGAAAACAGAATGGAGAAGCTCCACACAAATGGAATTTCACTTCCAGAAAAAAGGATATTTTCAATCACAAGCTGCTGTAATATTGTCCTTCCTTAAAAACAGAAATGCAGTCTCTTGGATCTCATAAGAGCTTTTTAGGAAACCCAAATATATCACCATAATGCAATTCCCACTAGCTAAATATAAAAGAGCTCAGAGAAGTTCTTGTCTTAGCTCTAGGGAGTGAAGGAGAGGGCAGTTATGTCATTGAGAAGGTTGTGGAAAGCACTTCTTTGAGCCAGAGCTGGAAAGAACCAAGCCTGAAACAGTCTGTTTATATTTATCATAATGTGATACATTCCATTACATTGAGTAGTCTTAGGATATAGCCCCAAAAACAGTTCTTATGTACGGAGTATATGGGGTTCCTAGAGTGCCCCAGAAAGCAGTTTATTTGATACTCATGGCAATAGGTGCGCAATTGCCAGGATACATAATTCTCAACATATTTCCGAAAGACACTACCTTGAAAACAATGAGCAATAAATAATATGGTTAAGATCATACTTTAATTTCTGCTATGTTTCTAGCAGAGCTGTTTCTGAACATGTGAAAGCCATAATCAAAATCCTTCTCGGGGGCTCCCAGTCACTCCATTACTTGTTTATTTTTTTGTATAAATGAATACAATTAATACTAATTTCATAAGATAAATAAATGCTAAGGGAAACATAACAAAGTGAAAAATAATACACATAGAAGCAGAACATTAAACAAAGAAATTCTCACTATGAATATACAACAAATGCAATAAGTTACATTGTGTTTAAGTGATGCATCATTTCTGCTTTCTTGATATTTTAGAATTTTGGATAGCTCACTGTAAATACTTTGTAGATGCTTTGAAGTTATATTCTACCCATTTTCTATTAACCCCTTAAAATCCCAGGTTTATTACATACTTATTATTCAGTAACTACATGAACAGTGGAAACTGGCTGAGCTATTTTCCTGATGCACCCTGGCCATTCAAAGGGGTTAAATTTATATTAATTTACTCCAACCCTAACCTTAACCTCAGCCAAAACCTAAATCTAACCCTTCTTCTTTTTCTGTCAGATTTTTGTCCACCAATTCGTCCCGCAGTTTTCAAGATATCGACACTGTTCCAACACTGGAATGTTCTGCCTGATTGGTAATCATGTGCTTATGTAAAGCTTTTTGATCGGATATACAGTTTTTGTACAATCATCGTTAAATAACAACGTTCCCCATAGGAATGAATGAGATGCAAAAGTTTGTGCACCCAACTTATGTTGAATCAAGTCCATTAGAAGCACCCTATTAATCATGTGGGGAACCATAGCAACCATCTAGCCACATCCTAGCAACCACTAGGGATACCATAGCAGCTACCTAGCAACACTCTAACAACCACCTGGCAACACCCTAGCAACCACCTGGGATAAAATAGCAAAAATACTTATCAACCACCTAAAATACCATAGTAACTGTTTGGTAACACCGTAGCAACCACCTTGCAATTTTTTAAGATGCACAATCACTCATTTTATTCAGTGAGTACACTTTTCTAGCTAAATTTGTTTTTTCATTTTGAGCCCAAATTCCCCAATATGATGGAGGAATTTAAATTCAAACATGGGAACATGTTGCCAGTTTTGCACATTACATTTGCATTTGAATGATCTAATCTGATACACTTCCAAATTATGTAAATAAAGATCCTTTGTGTTAAATCAGAATGAAATGAAGAAACTCACCTATTCATGCTCCGCACACAAATGTGTTCTCTTATAGCAACTGTTGCGAGGTTGGACAAGCTTTACAGAATGTTGGCAAAAATCTTATTCAACCTAATGAGAAACATTAATGCACCATTGGTTTATGTCTGTTATAATGTTACTACATTGGGTTGAACTTGCAGATTAAAATACTTCCGAGCTGCACTATGTTGTTATAGCAAATTAAAACCATTTTTCTATGAAAAAAACGCATCTGTGGGCAGAGCCTGGATGGATCAATTGGCCTTTTACTATGGATTCTTTATTTGGAGGTTGAGGCTGGTGGCGTCTCTTCCATTCACTCCTGTCTAAGTTGTTTAAGCAGATGGTGAGTTAAGAGGATAACAGTCACAACCCCCCCCCATACCCCGGTTAATTGCCAGAGCTGTATATGAGCCAGACACTCAGTCTGGTGCTTGAGTCAGTGCCACTGTCTTTTAAAGTCAGTGACAGCTTTCTGCGTAAATTAATCAGCTTTGACTTCTGTTCTTTGCCATTTGGGCAGAGACGTTTGCTGTGTGATTTAGTACCCTGATTCGGTCACCACTAAAATGATTCAGTGCTTAAGAGCTTGAGCCTTTGCCGAGCTGTGAGATGCTGTGGCGTCACTTTCTGTCATTGAGTTCAGGGCTGCATGGAGGACATTGATGAGGCAGTCGGTTTTCCCAGGCCTGCACTGTGTGTTCTGTGTTTCCGAACGCTCAAAAGCCAACTGAGCAGGATGGATCAATATTCTGACTGCATGATGAAAAACTACACCTTATCTCCTACTGGAAAAGCGCATGCTCATCTCAAATAGACAGATAAAAAACAGAAATATGAAACCAGCTCTGGGAGGAACGTACAGAAAAAATAGTGCTTGCGTGAGTGTGTTTATGATGAGAGATGACAAGTGTGTGTGTGTGTGTGTTTTTGTGTGTGTGTGATTTCTATGGATGAGAGGTACAAACACTGACCAGCAAGCTGTTGAACTGCACCTTCGCACCACTTTAAAGTATGTTCTCCTGAATAATGGCATGTCATACAGTAATCATGGGAGGATGTAAACACAGGAGATGCTGTGTTGGAAACATGAAGCTCTAGGCAGCATATGGGCATGTCAGTGATGAATAGTGTTTTGTCCTTGAAGCAGATTCTGTCCTTCCAGGAATGTGTTTATAGTATACCCCCATATGGTGGGGGCAGTTTCTAGGAAATGTCCTAAGCATTTATAATGGATCATTCGTAAGTACAAATCTAGTGCGCAATTTCATATATGAATAAAAAGAAACTAATCAGGATTTGGACTGTCACAATCATGAAATTTTAGCTGACATATAAACAGTTGTGATTAATGATTTAATTGTCTTTGCCTGTTCATTGTTTGCAACTATTAAAATACAAACCAAAAAGTGGCCACAACAGCTAACTGGCCACCTTATACTCTACCTATGTTTACTAAGTACTTAACACTGGTTGTACTGTCAAATCAGTACTGAGCACACTCACATAATGTTTACAATAACACAGAATTATGTGTAGAGTTAAACAAAGCTAAGCATCCTTCATGAGAGTGAAAATATAAGCCAAAAAGACACTCATTTTGCCAGCATACATGCTAAAAATGTTTAACCCCTTAAAATCCCAGGCTTATTACATACTAAGACTTAGTATTCAGTATTTACAGGGAATTCAATTCAAACTGGCTGAGCTATTCTTAGGTTATAGTGTCTATTAAAACCTTTGGCCTGGCAATGGGTTTAAATGAGGGTTACAAGAATTAGCTACATACAAATAAAACACATTACTCAACACTGACCTCTAAGTATATTAGAGCGCCAAGTTAGAAGTCAGAACTATATAGTCTTCATGAGCCCCATGATGTCTCAATGAACACATTTACTGCTGTCTTTTATTTACATTTATTTGCCTTAAATCAGATCACCCAATTTATATTTTGTTTGTTGTAGCATAATATAACTGAAACCTGATGACTGTGGAAAATGATGGCAGTCAGCTTAAATAATTGCGTTCATCTCAAATAACTGCGATTAGGTGATTATGTAATAATTGTGACAGGCCTAATGAAGATGCTATGAAATATGCTGTTTGTTTTTCAGTCATTGCCCTATAGTTAGTGTATAACATCATTTTCTGAACAGTGGTGAACTATGACTATTAAAATGTCAAAAACTTCTCTACCATCATACTCATTTCTGCTAGCATCCCTATTGGATTCTAGTAGTATGTTAGTGCTAACAGTGATTCACATGAACTTTTTTGGTGTTCTCAATTAAACCATAATATTTAAAGCTTGTAATAGACATATTAACATATGTTTTACAGTGACTCTTTCAGTAAAGAGACCTGGTACAGAGCTGCTGCTCTTTTCTGCTTCTAACATCTGAATGAAACCTGGCTAGTTTAGTGCTCACATTCACAGTCACTGACTTATCTAGCATTTCCAGAAGGCCTAGAGTGATGTTTTTCTCATGAAATTGGCCTCGCCTGTTGGAAATCAAAGTGTGATCAGTTGAGTCCTCTGTCACATCTTTGTGAATTATGTTATAAGTTAATCTAACTTGACAAAAAAATGTAAATAAATAATTACAGTACATTATCAGTTTATTCACTTCTTGTTCACAGAATAACTTGAAATATTGAACAAAACTAGCTTTTAGTAAAATGCTTGTAATCTTTAAATCCACATTAAATCCACATATAAGTTATAACTTATACAAGTAATAATATATTGCTGCTCTTGAAACAAAACACTGTATCTCCAATTTTGTTCTTTTTCGTTTTTTGACATAATCCAAAAACTGTCGCCCTTTACATTGTGTTTACATTTCACAATGAATGGACCAAAAGAAGTGGCCCAAAATGACTTTGATTCCTTTGACTTACATTAAAATTAAAGTATGTTTTTTCCTTCTCCTGTAAAGTTATGAGGTTGTGTTCTGACAGCAGCGATATGTAATAAGCTGTATTTTATATAAAATAACAAAAAGTATTAAAATGGAACAACTTTTGATCAACTTTATGAAACAACTTTGTATGCACACACACATCATTTTGTTTATATATATTTACATATATGTATATATATATATGTATATATATATATATATATATATATGTGTGTGTGTGTGTGTGTACATATAGAAGTAATGTAACACTAAATGGAATACATATATATATATATATATGTATATATATATATATAGAGAGAGAGAGAGAGAGAGAAAGAGAGAGAGAGAGAGGGGGAGAAAGAGAGAGAGAGGTGGGCAATATGGCAAAAATATAATATTGCGATCCTTCAAGAAATTTTTAACGATACACAATATGTTACAAAATATGACATCTGATCAGTTGGAACTGAGAAAAAAGAATCAATAGTGCTACAATTAAAAAACTACTGTCAAAAACTGTGAACACAATGATTTTTATTCACTATTTGACATACTGAGCCGCACTAAATCCAGTAAAACGGGACTACTTGTATTGTATTGTGGATATATATAACCCCCCTGGTCAAATTACATTTATGGTTTATTTTCTAAGTGAAAATACGTTAATGTGTCCTCTACATGGAACATGCTGAAATATGTTTTTTCTTTATAGTTTAATGAACAAATGTGCCATAACTTTTGCACAGGCCACATTTTATATTTTATTTTCCCCCCAATATGTTTAATTCAGCAAATAACAGTAAGTGTGTATAAAATTGTGCGGAAGTGTGTTCTCTGAAGAGGATGTGAACCTGTTCTCACTTGGGAAATCAACAGCTTCACTGTTTTGGTTAGTAAAAACGATTAAACGAAAGGAAATTGGTGTAAAAACTCGCTTTGGCACGTTTAAACGCATCGGCGCTGAACTAGCCGTTACCTTGAGTGCGAACTTCTCTCCGGAGCTCCTCTGGAAGATCTCGAACACCTTTCCATTGAGACCAACTCCGAGCACCTGCCCCGAGAGCTTATAGTCCTCCGTTATCACCTTCTTCTTTATTCTCTGAGTCCATTTCACTGCAGGCTGCGGGGAAAGGAGGCTGGCAGCGTCTGAATCACTCTCATTCTGCGTGTTTAAGAACATGGTGATGGTCCAGAAATCCTCATAGTTTCCCCTCAACTCACACCACTACTGAAGTTCTGCAGAGGCGCTTAAAGGATTTCGGGACTATCCAGTTAAGAAGAATCTGGAAAGACACCAGAGCATTAGCGTTAATGCCTTAACACATCAGCCCGCGCCTCTTCATACTACTCCAGTGTGTCCGAGTAGCTGCTGGCTGCTATACAGCTGGACACATGGCGGTCCTACAGCCCGCATGTGATCACTTGAGTGCTGTTTCGGGGTCAGACTCTGCTCTGACAGCCAGCCGGCAGACTGTGGTGGAGTAAGATCACGTTGTAGGAGTTCGTCTCTTTCCTCATCCACTCGGCGTTCCCGGATTTCTCGTAAAGCCTCAATATCACACTAACTGAAGTCGGCCTAAGAGTACAGAGAGCGGACTGTGTCTCATACCGTTATATATTGGTCATTTTCCTTTGACTGTTGCCTGTCCATCAGACATAGTGAGGCTCTTCAAAACATCACGCGTCACGTGATTGACATGCTTGAGCAGCGCGTTAGTGGGAGGGGCACGCAGAAAGGGGCGGGGCAACGCATTAGCTCCCATATTTGTCCAATTCAAATCTCTATTGGAAATACAAATGTATGTACTTGCTGCGCCGACAGAAAAGGCAAAAGGTTGCATTTGTTAGAAATTATCAAATAGTCAAATATGAAAATAAAAACAAAACAAATTATATAAAATTTAGAGGAAACCAAATTTAAATAAGTAAGAAAATTAAATAGTATACATACAATACACTCATAGTACTTCACAAATGTGTTGTTTTTTGTGTTATTATTGAATTTATGACATTTAAGTTTACACTTCTTAAGTTATTTTAAAACGTTCATTAGTATGGTTTACACTACTGAAGTAGCAAATTACATCTTCAAGTGAAAACCGTTTTACCTTCTCTTATGGCCACCAGCAATAATAATAAAGGTTTGGTCTAAGACGCATTTTAATCAATTTATTTTAATTCCTTCACGGTAGAGGGATACATGAAGGATGTTCTAAGGCAAAATAGTCCCCAAAGAAAACTTATTTTGTTCAGATTAACCACTGTCTCACCAACATCAACATTACAAAAACTCAGGTGACACCTGTAGGTTCGAAGAGAAGAGCTATAACATAAACCCACGTCATGAGCGCACATTTTCTACAGACTTTCCTCCGAATGTCTTATGTTTATCCATAAAGCCTGTGGTTTTTAATATTCATTAGATGATGACCTAAGCAGACTGTAACAGAGATCTGTCTCTGCGTAAGAGGATCAATTCCGAAGCTAGCCACTGTTTCCACCCGGACTTATTTTGTAGTGCAGCCACATGGTAGACCCCAGCCGCTAACTTACAATATGTTCTGAAATTGTCCCGTTAAAATCTAAGAATTAAAAGGTTTCATTACCCAAAGGAATTAGTAGCACATCGATACGCTAAATATACGGCAGAATGTTCACGAAAGCGTTTCGTGTGAAGTCCAATACCGTTATGAAAGGATCCGACAGGTAAGTAAATAACCTACAGTTAGCCGGTTAGCTAAAGTTAGCTGTAAGTCAGTGATTAGAGTGCGTCTCATTCAACTCCACACCAACTGTAGCACTTTACACTTCAACTCAAGTAGTACGTTTTTTCTCAGGAATTCGTGTTTGTGTTTTATTGCTGTTGTATGATAAGACTAGTGAGTGTACAGGGTTCACATGGTTACTGAATATGAGTGGTGTTGTAACTTAGTCAGCTACATGACTGGAGAACTCAACTAACGTTCCTCTAACATCAGGTACCTCGGAAACGTGTTATGCGGTATGGTTGTCATTCATAATATACATATATATATAATCAATCACACAATCAATAAGCCATAACACCTCTTTGTATCTACTGTCCATGTCCATTTTATCAGCTTCACCAACCATATACGTGCAATTTATAGTTCTTCAATTACCCCCACAGGACCACCACTGAGCAGGTTATATTTGGGTGCTGGATCATTCTCAGCACTGTAGTGACACTGATGTGGTGGTGGCGTGTTAGTGTGTGTTGTGCTGGTGCAAGTGGATCAGACACAGCAGTCCTGCTGGAGTTTTTTTTGTCCACTGTCCACTCTATTAGACATTCCTACCCTGTTGGTCCACCTTGTGGATGTAAAGACAGGGGCAGTAGCTCATCTGTAGCTGCGCAATTTGTGTTAGTCATCCTCTAGTCCTTCATCAGTGGTCACAGAACGCTGGCCACAGGACGCTGTTGGCTGCTTGTTTGTGGTTGGTGTACTATTCTCAGTCCAGCACTGACACTGACGTGTTTAAAAAGAACAGGGTAAAAGGGGGCTAATAAAGTATGTAGAGAAACAGATGGACTACAGTCTGTAATTGTAGAACTGCAAAGTGCTCCTATATAGTAAGTGGAGCTGATAAAATGAACAATGAGTGTGGAAACAGTGGTTTAAATGTGTTTGGCTGATTGGTGTGTGTGTGTTTATATATACACACAAAACATTTATTACTAAAACAATTCATTTACAATGGGCGGTTTTTGCAGCTTAGTTTACTGGGAAGTGAACAGTTCGTTTTGAAACCATGTTTACATATTACATTAAAGTCATGTTTGGTTTTCAGTGATATGGGCATGTTAAGACTTAGGCTGTATGCTTAAGACCAACAGAATTTATTATTGTATGTGGAAGTTTGCTGTTCTAGCAAGAGTTAGTTTGCCTGTTTGACAGTTATTAATGCAAATCTCCCGCTAATTCATTCTGCAGGAGAAAGCTGAAAGCAGACATCTCAGCTGCATTCCCATCCCTGTCTGCAGATGACCTGAACGAACTTGTACCTAACAAAGAAGAACTGAATGTTGTGAAGATTTATGCACACAAAGGAGATGCCGTTATTCTGTATGCCCTCCATAAGAATCCTGTGTTCTTTCAGTTGGAGAAACAGCTGTATCCTACAGGTACCACAGGACTACAAGATACTCTCTGTCATAATTACTGTTGATTTTTTATAGCATCTGATTTGTATATGTTTTTTCACCAGTGTACACACTTTGGCGATACCCTGATTTATTGCCAGCATTTACAACATGGGCTCCGGTAGTGCAGAAATTAATTGGTGGGGCAGGTGGGTTTATCTGAGGAATAATGAATATGAGTGGCACTTGTATGTGCTCTTGTATGTATGACTCACACTCTGATTGATTTTTCTGTGACTGGAACAGATCTCATGCTGCCAGGGGTAGTGGTGTCCTCTGCTGGACTGCCTGATGTAAAGAAAGGCGACTGCTGTGCTATTAATATAGTGTCCAACAGGTAATGCTGTCTGTTGCCAGCTGACTCATAGTTTACATACATATGTTTCAATAAAGCCTGTATCAAATAAGTGGGCCGTGTAAATGTACAGTAGTGCAGATTAGCTTTACTCGTGTGTAGAAGTTAAGTTCACATGGTCCAGCGGTTGCATTTTAACACGTTACATAAAGGCTACCTTCATTGCGACTTCGCATGCATGAGCATTGAATAATGTGTTTTAAAAAGCAACACTTGAGAATTTATGAACAGTACATGCCAGTCGTCACAAGAATGACATAAGATCATTTTATGAAGTGAATGACATTGTTTTGATTTAAAGGGTCTTAATTAATTTAATTAAAGTGACAAACATTTGTTATGAAGCATGTATTATAAAGCAGAGACACCATATATGAGTTCTATGGAAGATTTTGATGCCCTTAAACTTAACTGATCATTTTTATGCATATTTGTGAATATAGATATACATAGATGTATGAAAATAGATGTAGCTATACTATTGTATGCAAAAGTTTGAGCGACCCCAGTCAAAATACATGTTTTGTTGATTTTATAGGTGAAAATAGGTTAACATATCCCCTACAGGGAATACAAATCTGCACATTTTTATGCACAATTACTGTTTATTTTCTGAATTTAACATATTAGGAAGACAAAAACATCCAATGTGGCCTGTGCAAAAGTTATGGTACATTTTATATTTTTTGTTTTATTTTTTCAAGTATGTTAAACTTTAGGTTTGTTCCCTATGAGGACCTGTTAACTTATTTTTACTTAGAAAACTACAGTTACATCATATTATTTTGATTGTGCAGCCACACAGCTCTCTTTAAATTGTGCTTTTCAACTTTAACTCAAGTAGAAATGTATAGAAATGATATGTAATGCTTACCTAAGCCTCTGCCTTATGAGTTTAATTAATTGGAAATGATGCTCCATAACAGTGCTATGAACAGGACATGTCAATTTATTTAATTTACTTCATCAAACATCTTACACCATCTTGCAGTTACTAGCAAATGCTGTTCATAAATACTCAAGGATTGCTTTATAAATACATTATTCAAATTCAGAGTGTTTTTTTTCATAATGATTATTTTGTCTACGTTTTAACTGTGGTAGCTTGGTTGCAGGGCTCCAGTTGCTGTGGGTACAGCAGCCTTGTCGAGTAGTGACATGAGGAGTAGTGGATTGAAGGGGAAAGGAGTGACTGTATTACACACATACATGGACCAGCTGTGGTAAGCATTTTTACACACTCTGCTCATTCTTTTGAAAGTGGTTATCAAAAAATTTTGCTTAGATTACATCAACGTGTTTATTTGACACTTTATAGGATGTTCTAAGCGAAATCTTGACCTGATTTTTATTTATTAATTTATTTGCTCCTGCTTTTTACTCTTTATTACACAGTCTGGACAGAATGTTCAGTAATGTAGAACATGCTTAACATGCTGAGATGTATACCAGAGATTCAGCAGCTATGTGGTCCAAACTTTTATATAAGAAAATATCTACAGTGATTAGTCATTCCGAGTGGTTTGACATGAAATGGTTAATTGTAGAGAAACTTACTACTTGACTTCACATGCATGAGCATTGAATAATGTGTTTTAAAAAGCAACACTTGAGAATTTATGAACAGTGCATGCCAGTCGTCACAAGAATGACATAAGATCATGTTATGAAGTAAATGACATTGTATTGACTTAAAGGGTCTTAATTAATTTAAGTAAAGTGACAAACATTTGTAATGAAGCATGTATTATAAAGCAGAGACACCATATATGAGTTCTATGGAAGATTTTGATGCCCTTAA